AAAAAAAATTACCTTGTAAACATATCTTTTATTTCAATACAATCCTTTGTCCAAGCTTTACTCTCTAAACTCTTCGCAAACTCTTTGCCACACTCTTTTAGAATTATAAAGAATTGTTTTGTTTTTCCTGAAGTGAAAGAGGGTGTTAATTTGAGACGTAAATTCCGCCATTTTTTTCCAGACAGTGAAAACAAATGACCAGACAATGGATCAGTTTTTTCGTTGCAAAACAATCCGCGATCATGGAAACTTTTAAATTCTTTTGCCAACACCATTTGAATAAGATCAGGATCGGCAATTACCAGATTTGGTTTAAAAAACGAATACATGCCAAAAGCACGATAATCCTTGTATTTTATATAAGCATCACGGAAGAGTTCACCTGTTGACAAATTTTTAATAAAATTCCACATCTTTTTAAATGCAAAAAAACTTTGATAAATATTGTGATTAAGAGACCACCTTCTAGTGATCTTGACATATATTTTCATATATAATCATAAGAGAGTAATTAAATGTGAAAATTTAGCATATACCTAATCTCTCTTCAGTTAATTTTAAACTTACTATTTTCTTTAGATTTATTATCTATTATCTGTTATCTTTATATTTTTAATACTATCATTTACACAAAATGTATGGATTTTTATCCACATTGCAAAAAATTTTTAAATAATTTTAATTTAAATTGAAATAATGTAATCTTTTCTACATTAGTGAAAAATTTATATTTACATTATTTGTGAGAAATGTTTTAATATCAATATATAACTTATAGATAGACTTAAAGATTTTTAGTTTTTAAGAACGGTAATCAACAATTTGGGTAGACAATTAGAGTCATTAACGCAGTACTTTGATGCGTGTAATTTAATCTTCTCTAATAAACCAATTCTTTTCTATTCTTCAATATCATTTTAATAGATACATGTAGCGAAATAGAGGAAATAATCATAGTTTATAAGTTAAAGATCGTAGTTATTATGGAAAAGAAATACTGATAAGCAACTACTAATAAACAAAGCGAAAAAACACTCTTAGTAACATATCTTAAAATATAATTTTATAATTTTAATATTATAATTATTAAACAGATTTTAAAAGAAGAAGGGAGAGAGAGAGAGAGAGAGAAAGTGGGAAAAGAAAAAAAAGAGAAAAAATTGCTCATTTAAATGCAAGTAAATTTATCATTACAAATATTACTTGCCTACTGATAATTTTCCAATCACAAGAGGTGTCAAATTACCAGTTGGTACAACGGGC